TTTACCAAAAGTTAATAAATATAAAGGTATATAAAACAAAGAAACGATATATATACTTCATAATTTGAATAACCTACTTCTAACCTTGATAGTGTCAGGATTTTGGGGATCTTGGTAATAAGATTTTGGCATTGTCAAGATCTTGGTAATATTGGGATTTGGGCACTGTTGGGATCTTGGCACTGTTGGGATCTTGAATTGTCGTGATTTTGGCATTGTCATGATTTTGGCATTGTCAGATTTTGGCCTTGTCAGGATTTTGGCTTTGTCAGGATTTTGGCCTTGTCGGGATTTTGACATTGTCGGGATTTTGATATTGTCAGGATTTTGACCTTGTCGGGATTTTGGCCTTGTCAGGATTTTGACATTGTCTGGATTTTGACATTGTCAGGATTTTGACATTGTCAGGATTTTGACATTGTCGGGAATTTTGACATTGTCGAGATTTTGACATTGTCAGGATTTTGACATTGTCAGGATTTTGACATTGTCAGAATCTTATAGATAGTGTCAGGATTTTATACTGTCAGGATTTAGTGATATCGAGATCTTGAAAATGACAGGATTTTGATATCGGGATTTATGCGTCAGAATTTTAGTATTGTCAGGATTTTGGTGTCGAGATTTTGGGCATCGGGATTTTAGGTGTCAGGATTTCAAGTTAAAACCAAATAAACCTTTTGGTAGTTAATTTATTATTATGATCAGAGATTTTGGTCAACTTCTCTCAGTACTTGACCTTTCTATATGCTAAGAGATTCATTATCTAATAATAGTATTATATCATATAATCAGTTTTGTGAAGTATATAAACTTAATATTATTCAACGCTAATCTAGAAATTCTAGAGAGCAACAAATTTTTAGAGAAATTCTTTTAAGATTATGCAATAGCAAATTTATATTTAAAGATTAGAAAATACTTACTATATATATTGAAGAAAATATAATAAAACTAAACATGATCAATTTTTAAATACTATATTCATATTATCAAAATAGTCTGAAGTTAATGCAGTTAACTTAAATAAACTTGAATTTTTAAAGAATGCTGTTGTCAAAGTTCTTGCTAAACATATTGGTAATCAAGAAGCTAAAAAAGCTAATTTTAATATTGCTAAAGGTCTTGAAGCACAACTTTTATTAGCTAAAGATATTTGAGTTATATTAATAGCAAATTTATAGACAGAAGCTAAGTTAGTTAATAGATCAATAGAAACTATTTATGATATTTTGTATAATAAGAATGGTTTATCTTTTCTTTCTGTAATAGTCTTTATTGCTTTCGATAATTATAATAGTCCTGCTATTAGAATATTAAAAAGTATAAATGTTGTTTTAATAATACCTATTCAACGTATTTGAAAAAGTAAATCTGGGATAATGTGCTCACGAATACAGATTTCTATTTGCTTTGCCTAGGCTATTATGATTCATAAGAGTCAAAGACTTACTCTTTCAAATACTGTAATAGATCTTAGAAATAAAGAGTTTGCAGCTGGTTTTTTTTTTGTAACAGTGTCTCGAGTTCATACCCTCTTTAATCTTCTGTTTAAACCTTTCAGCTTTGAAAAGCTTCAGCAAATTAAAAATTGTAAAAGATTACAATATCGAAAAAATAAAAAAAAGCAACTAATATCTATGATATTTAATAAATAAAAAGAGTAATAGTTAATTTTAAATAAAAAAGTAATATGTAATAATTTATATATATATGCATACATGTTATTATATTATAAAAAATTTAACCAAATATGATTAGCTATACAATATTACTATATATTATTACTGTTACTGTTTATATATTTATTATTAAAGCAGAAGTTTGTTTGATTAGCTAATAAATTTAATTTAATTTTATATTATATTTATATAGTTTAGAATACTTTTTAAAAAATGAAAAATAATTATAATGATAATAAAATAAAAAAAGCTATATAGAAGGTTTCATTAGAGCTATAAAACTTTATAGCCAAAAGTAAAATTTAATTCTCATCTGTTTAAAAAAGATAATTTATTAATAATTTCTCAAAATCTGATAAAATCAACTTATTAATAAGTTAATTTTTTTAAATAGATGAGTATTAAATTTTATTTTGACTATAGAGTCCTATAGATTTAATAAAACCTTTTATATAGTTTTTTTTTATTTTATAAGTAATATTAATATAATAAAGTATTTTTTATCTTGTTACTGCAATTAGATTATACAAAATTGTGATTCTTAATTATAAAATTTGGTATATCTAATTGATGTTCTGGCCTCATACTGGTTTCCAATTTCTAGTTATATATACTGTATAAATTGCATTAACAATAAGTTTGTTTATATAGTACAAGAATATTGTTATATTTACTAATTTAATTTTTAGAAGTTTTTTTTTTAATAAATTATAGTATTATATAGTATAAACTTATATCATTAAATAATATGAAGAATAATATATAAAACATTTATTAAAATGTTTTTTAGTCTCTATCTGAGATAAATAAGCAGTAAACCTAAAAAAACAGCTAATTTAAACTATAAATAAAATACTATTACTAGTTGTTAAAGCATTCAAGAATTTTTAGATAATAAACAACTAATTTGTCATTATTTGATCAATTATATAATAGATAAGGCAAATTCAGAATCAATTTTTGAGAAAAATAGCCTTTTAACTTTTAGCTAATAACAAAACATATAGATATTACAATTATACATGCTACCAAAATAGGTTTTCAAAAAACCCCTATTTCATCTTCATTAGAGCAATTTGGAATTTTTTATATGCAATAGCAAATCTAA